ATGCTAAGTGAAAGACAAATACCATATGACTTCACTTATATGTGGTATCTATAAAGCAAATGAACAAGCAAACAAAACTGAAATAGACACATAAACAGAACAGACTGGTAGTTACCACAGGGGAGGGGTATGGGTGCAATAGACGGAGGAGGAAAAAATATTAGTGATAATGTCTGATATCTTGATCTGATGGATACATGAGTGTATACACATGTCAAAATTCATCAAGCTGTACACTAAGATTTGTGCATTTTACTGTATGTATCTCAATATTAAAAGAGCAGGTTGGTTTCCCCACCCCCACCCCTGAAGCAATCACTGAACCTCTCTAAAGAAGTAAACCTCAAATTAAGTCCCAAAATTTTCATGAAAAAAAAAAGTCAAGTTTCAGTAGAGAGGCCCTACCCCAAAACCAAGCCCTAAAAGCTGATCCAGCATCCCCTGGGACTGAGTCGTTGACTCTTATTACCTTCGAAATGGATAGCATCCCTTCCAACATGCTAACAAAACTTGGAAATTTAGCTCCTTTAAAGCCTCTCATTTGAGACTGTCTTTCAGAAATATACTTCCCCAAGAGAGGTAATGCCAAGTTTCTATTAGGAAGGATACTACTTTTCAATCAGACTGAGTATGTGGGAAGAGATAATCTATTACAGCAATTGAGAAGTAGATGGCTTGCTTCAAATTCTCAAAAGCAATGGTGGTAACCAGGTGCCACAATGGCCCCTAATGGCCCCACATCATGGTACTATCCTTGTGTAATGTCCTCCCAAAACATACCAGGATTAGTCTATGAGACCAATAGAATATCACAGAAGTAATAATTTGTCACTTCTGACATTAGGTCAGAAGAGACTATAGCTTTTGTCTTGGTCACGTATGTGTTCTCTCGCTCTTTGGGGAAAGATAGCTGCCATGTCATGAGGGTACTTGGCAGCCTCATGGAAAGGCCCATGGTGAGGAACTGGGTATCCAGGTAACAGTCACTCATGCGTGAGTGTAGAAGAGGAACCTCCAGCCCCAGATGACTGCAACTTTTTTTTTTTTTTGAGAGGGCATTTCTCATATTTATTGATCAAATGGTTGTTAACAACAATAAAATTCAGTATAGGGGTGTCAGTGCTCAATGGACAATCATTAATCCATCTCAAGCCTAATTCTCGTAAGTCTCCAATCTTCTGAAGCATAACGAACAAGTTCTTACATGGTGAACGAATTCTTACATAGTGAATAAATTCTTACATGGTGATCAGTACAAGGGCAGTCATCACAGAAACTTTCGGTTTTGATCATGCATTATGACCTATAAACTATCAGGTCAAATATGAATATTCGTTTGATTTTTATACTTGATTTATATGTTGATCCCACATTTCTCCCTTTATTATTATTATTATTTTTATTTTTAATAAAATGCTGAAGTGGTAGGTAGATGCAAGATAAAGGCAGAAAACATAGTTTAGTGCTGTAAGAGGGCAAATGTAGATGATCAGGTGTGTGCCTGTAGACTATGTGTTAATCCGAGCTAGACAAGGGCAATAAACCATCCACGGATGCAGAAGATTTCTCTCAAAGCAGGGGGGATGAGGTTCTGAGCCTCACCTCTGTTGATCCCCAATTTCTCACCTGATGGCCCCCCTGCGACTGTGCCTGTCTTAGGTTGTTCCTCCCTTGAGGAATCTTACCCGTCTCTGGCTAACCAGCAGATGACTGCAACTTTATGAGAGCCTCAGTGATAACTGTCCCACCAGGCTGCCTCCCAACCTTCAGAAACTGTGAGATAATAAATGTATGTTGTTTTAAGTCACTAAGTTTCAGGGTAATCTGTTATACACCAGCAGGTAACTAACACAGCCGTGGATACCATGCTTAGGAAGAAGGCCAACAGTACCTCTCCTGAATCTAGATGACCTAGCCTAAAGTGCCATTTTTGGCATCTGCCTTTGTCACAAAGCCTTAGAGGGGGTTCAGGAGACCTCAGTTTCTCTACAGTGCTGCACCCTGACCAAAAGGGAATGAAAGGCAAGGTGACTGCATCCCCTGGACATTCCTATCCCAAAGTGATAGTGTTGGCAAGGAGGAGGAGGAGGCTTGGCCCCAGGCTGCAACCCAGTCCCTCGCAAGTCCTGTGAGGCCACAGGAAAGTTTCATAATTTTTCTAGGCCTTCATTTCTTTGCCTATAACACAGCTATGATACCACCTTTTCCTGTGGTTAAAATAAGTAAATATAAAAGGACTTTGGAAAAAGAGTTTAACCTGCTATACAACTTCTAGACAGTAATAACATCATCAGCACTATGACTACCTCTCCACTCAAAGATGGAATGTAAGGGTTTGGATTTTATATTTTTGATATTAAACATGAGGTCACTTGGGGAGACTTAAAAGACATTATACCACAAGAAGCAAATGCAAATACTTCCTGGGCCATGTGGGGAGTATAAATGGGTGAGTCATACTAGAGGAGGTGACAGGGAAGAACAGTGGGGAATGGTATGGACATGGCAATCTAGAGACTTCATGCTCTTCCTACAAAAAATTTTAAAACATTGCTGAGGGTCAAGCAAACCAAGTCTGCCTACTGAATTTGATCCAGCAAACACCAGGTTGTAAGCCCTTATCCAGCACCATAATAAAAGGCTAAGGGTGTATATATATATATATATATATACACACACACACATACATACACACATATATATATATGTATTGATTTATATCAATGTGATATCAATATCAATATAGTAGATGATATAGATATGGAAGATTTAGGTCTCACAATATCCTTTGCAGAAAGGTCTGTGAATAGGGCTTCATCACACATCCATCCATTCATTCCAGAAACACTTTTGGAATACCCACTGTAAACTATAACATACTATGCTGCATACTAATCCTCTTGTCCCAAATTTTGTATCTTAAATGCTTCTATTCTGTACCTTTCCAAGACTGGATTATTTGTATCAGTACTGTATTTGCAGGTAATGTAGATTCTCTATTTTCAGAAATGAGTTTCAGTCCCAAATCCACAAATAAAGAATTATTATAATAATAGCATATTCATGAAAAGCAAATTACTTATCTTGGCGTTTAACATCCTTGTAACTATTCCTGTACTTTTAATGTCAACAGAAAAAGTAATGTCTAAGTCTGGCTGATACAGTAAATTAATGTTAATAACAGTTTTGACATTAATAGCAAGTTTTAAAAAGAAAAACCTCCAGTCTCTAAGCTGGGCTTCATTTCTTAAAAATCACCTTAGCTTGCTGTCACCAGACTCTCCTAGAACAATTCCAGCTACTATTTCATCTTCACTGGTAGCTTGAAAACAACTACAGCTGGTAAAGTTTCTGTGAAATTATATTTCTTCTCTGCCTTTGCTGACTCTCACTTTCACTGAAGAAAACATCCACCCCCTGAGGTACAATGCGAGGGCTTTTCAGCAGAGACACATTTCTGAATCCCTAAAGCAAATGAATACATACATAGTTCCATACAAAAAAAAGCTATTTCTTCAGAGCCTGAAAATTAGTTGTGAAAATGTGAACTGTAAAAGCACACCCTGGATTAATGGGAGTTTCAGACTTTGTTATAGAGACCATAGAATCCCAAAGAACACGGTCTGCTCTGATCTTCATGTTGTTCCCAAGTACTGTACATATCTAAGGCCATTAAGAAATTTCCCATGAATTAAATTGATCTGAGCTGAAAAATTTTACAGGCCCAGGGAAAATGAAAAGGAACCAGGCCCTTGGCTCCTGCACTCTTGGTAGCTATTTTCTAGAAGTCACCGAGGGCTCAAGCCATCTCTCGCAAACCCTCTACCCTTCTCATACTCAGCCAATAGGACCTGGTTAGTCTACAATACCCACCTTTATAATCACTTAGAGGCCGCTAGGCTTTAAGCAAAGAATCTCTTCTAACTTCTCAAACCTCATTCTTTTTCTATTACTAATTGAGTGTTTTACTTTTAGATAATCCTATAATGAACCAGCTCAAATGAGCAGAGAGGCAGCAGTGACAACCCATCAATAAAATAATTAAGCTGAAGTGGATTGTGTTAGAGACTTCTCATGTCATAATAGGAAATCTAGGCTACTTAAAATCAGGGAAATCAAGTAGAATCATTTCTTTTGGTTTTAAAAGGGAAGTTAGCTTTAAAAGTATCTCTTTCATAGAGATTTTCTTAGCTCTGCCGACAATACTCGTTATTTATTCTGGAAGTGCTGATGAGTACAAGGTGGTTTCCAGAATTATCTTTTCCCCTTCCATAGTTTTCACTTATAATTGTCTACAGAATTTAGGTAAGAGACCCTCTACATTTTCTCTCTCTGTTTTTCTCTTTTTTAAGAAATTTAGATCATGGCCTCAGTCCCCTGAGAATTTTGCACCTTGTCCCAACATATTTATGCCATGGAAAAAAACAGGAAACGCATAAAAACAGGAAAATCAGGACATGGTAAGTGCTGATGCAGGGCAAAATCCTACCTCTTCTCTCTCTCTCTCTCTCTCTCTCTCTCTCCAACCAGTGAAAGAAGAGGGTTCCTGACAACAAAAGCTGACGAAGGCAGATACATTTCTTTTGCATCCTCCTCCCCCGGTTGATCAAAGAGCCAAGAGCTTTGTCTTCCAACACAAGTTCCATGATGCCATTGATCCACTTCACCCTTGCCCTCAAGTTTTGCATCCTCTCCAACTGGGAGACTGGGATGGAGTATAGAACCAACCTCTGCAGTAACAGATATTCAACAATTGCCAAAAGGCTTCAAGCTCTGGATGAGAAATAGAAACCAAGACCAGGGCTGGCTTTGGGTGCTATTGAGTGCCATAGGGGGAAAGCAGAAGCTGAATAAGGAAGTAACTGTGGACTTGAAATCACTTGTGCTAATCCCCAAACTGGAGGTCACATTTTGGACTGAGATAAGGGACACCCCTGAGTGGGTCCATGAAAAGGAGCATAAACTGAAAACACTCATCATCAAGTGAAATAAATACATACCCATGCTCCGTCGGGCCCAAACAATTCTAGGAAGTTGCCAATGAATTCCCTCGATTTCTCTTCCCACTTCTGAATTAGATCATGACTCTTTTCTTCCACTCTGTTAACAAATTCCTTTGATCTTTCCTCCACATTCTTGACCTTTTCCTTCATCTTGTCTACCTGGTTTTGGAAGCGGTATTTCTTTTCCTGGTCAAAAATGAAAGGAGAAAAAAATGGGTTTATGCAAGAAGGCATGAGAACGCTCAATCATTCACACTAATGGGCATATTTTATTTCAACCTGTGTTTGTTCTTAGCCTGAAGAGTCAGGATGCTGCTATTTTCCAAGGGCTAGATTGATGGGAAGGTGCATCTTCTGTAAGAAGAGTCATTTGTCATTAGTCTACTTGGATATGTAAAGTGAAATATAAGTGGTTTTAATATTCTCTTTCTTTCAAACATCTAAGTTGAATTCACTTATATAAGAGAAGAACCAAAACATATATTTGATCTTTACTACAGGTAGATATTGGGCAAATACAACCCTTCAATTGGGGTTGGGCTAAGACTTAGACAAAAGTATGTATGAATTGTACATAGAACGGCCACTCAGAGGCTACCTGAGTTCCATTTTACTGAGACACTGTTAAAATCAATATTGGTTGAAATAAGCTGGTATTGGCTAGGACTTAGAACACATGTATACTAAAGTTTTCATTGTAATGGCATTTTCCATTTAGTTAATTGAACTGCATCAATTTCGTTGGTGATAAAAGCATTTGATAGTTTCTCTAGACTGGGGTTTTGTTCTTCTTCTAGACTTTATACAACAATGATATAACTACGTGCCTGGAAGGTATCATATGTTGGGCAAGTCATGTGTCATCTCTAAACCTCAGTTTCCTCATCTGTAAAATGGGGATAATTATCATAGGGTTGTGGTAGTAATTAGATAAGATAATGCATGTCAAGTGCTTGGCCTAAAGCCTGACAGTTAGTAAAACACAGCATGTGTTGGCTGTTTCATTACTGTTCAGCAGCAAAGGCATTTAATCATGTTACTTGATCAGAGCGGTATCAAAACTATGAAAATAACATAAGACAAAGGGTCTTCCCTTCCATGAAATCACAATACATTTTCTCTTAAAGGCTTATCTTTTATTATTATTATTATTATTATTATTATTATTATTATATGGGACTGAAGTTCATTTCATATTTCAGAATTTTTTGAGATACCTGGAATATTGCAAATTCCCTGATTTAGACCTTCCAAACCTTACTGCAGCCTCAAGACAGGGTGTGAGTTACACCTTCTGCCATCAGTGATATATAATATATGGTTATTACACACAGCTCTCGGAGGCAGCACGGAGAAGTAGGATGAGCTCTGGACCGGGAGTCATCACTGGGAGGCTGCTGCTTCCTCCACCCCTGCTTCTCTGGAGGGACCTTGGCCAGGTCTCCTCTCTGAACTCCACTTTCCTCATTTTTAAATGGAGGGTGTTGGACTGGCTAACTGACTCCTGTCAGGTTCCTGTTGCCTCCGAGGTTCTGTGTTTCATTCTTATGCCCACCAAACACATTTGATTTCCTCTCTGAGCTGCAGCCAGGTTTGTTGTCACGAAAAGACAATGAGCACATCCACACTGACTACACGGTTCCTTGAACTAAGTGGCTTATCTAAAGGCCTTTTAAAAAGAGTGAGCAATAACTTTTGGAAATGGCTTGACATGCTTGGATGCGTGACTAAGAACAGACAGTTTAATTTATTGAAATAACCAGGGCTTTATTCTAAGATACCAAATAATCACTTTTTACTCAATTCTTTTCAGCCACTTGTTCTGGTACCATTTGAACCCGACATTTTCCATTTTGTTGCACGGCTTGTACAAAGCCACAGAGCCTGGACTCCCAGCACTTCCTGGTTTGTGACGACAACTAATAATCACTGATTCACAATTAATGAACCCCTCCTCATTTTGAAGATGTCAGTGATCGATTTGTGTAAGCTACTGCATAATTATGGCTGCACATAATTATAAGCATCTAGTTTTATAGAAAAATCACTCTTTGAAAATATGCTATCTATTTTGGGGGGTTGAAATTCTGTATGCATGGAGAGTTCTTGTTTTAATCAATTGTATCAGCTCTTTGGAGTCCAGGCGAATACCATTGTCCAGACATGCTAACATCACCTCCAGCAACTGGACTGCCCTCTTTGCTTTTTAACAGTTTGTTTTGCTCCTTGGAAAGATTGTTTTAACAGTTGCTCTATTATTAAACTAACAGCAGCTCTGTGGGAACAATACAGCAGAAATACAAAAGGAAGCCAAACACTTTAGGCTTTATTTAAGCGGCTGTAATTTCTCTGGACAATAAAAAAGGACTGTTAAGGTTTCTAATGAGCATCTGTAAGGGCATGAGAATTTTAAAACGTTAAAACAAGAAAGCATTTTCTCTGGCTTTAGCTGTTCGTTGCCTCTGCTGTCCTTCCTTCTCTTTGAACAGACAACAACTCTTGCCTTTCATGAGGGCATATCTCTCAAAACCCTTCTCCCACATTTGAGAACTCTCAAATGGGAGGCTGCGGCAAGGGAAGTGAGGCAGCTCCTTTATAAAATGGGAAGCTTACTACCTGTGTGCACCGCCTACTTCACATTCCCCCTCTGGACGCTGGCTTCTCCGTCTATAAAATGGGGGTAATGACACATCATGGGGTTGTTATGTGGATTCCGTGAGACAATAAGTCATCAAGAACACTGCATGGCATATACTAAGCACTCAATAAACAGTGGCGGCAGTGGTGTGGTGTGGTGGTCCTGAGCAGGTATGCGGTGGGGCACACTTACATTTATGAAGCTAACATTCAGTTCCTTGGCTGTGTATCCTCTCTGGAGGTTACGTCGAGCATAAACATCATAGTCCCGGACAATTCTGGTGATGATGTCTGATGTTGAGATGCCTTCCGTTCTCTGTGTTGGAACAAACATTCCTGTTCAAATAGGAAAGAGGAGGTCAGTAGAAAGAACCAAGATGTCTGACCCATTTCCTTTCATGGCCTTCCTTTCCTGGACAAAGGTGCAGCTTCCAGGTGTGTCAGCCTTTCCCATCTGGCCCCAGCTGCCTCTGCCAGCTCATTTCTGTACACTTCCTCCCTACTATAAGCACTACATGGTCGTCATCCTAGACCTGCTCCCTGGCGGCTCCATGCACTCACCTGGCCCCCAGCAGTTGGTCATGCCAAGCCCTTCTGGTCGGCTCTGGATCCCCTGCCCTGCCCACATCCACTGCATAGTTCCTCCTCCTCCTGCAGCACCTGCAGCTTCAAGGTTATGCCTCGGGGAAGTCTTTCCTGACATCACCAGGCAGAATCCACAACATTTAGGATGAAAACTTACCTTCCATGATTTTAAATATCTGTCTCCTTGTAGAAAGGAAACATTCTGAAAGCATAGATTGTGCCCTGTCTTCACATCCCCAGCACCCAGCTCAGTGCCCCTGGGCCTAGGACATGGAAGGTGCTCAATAAATGTACCTTACTCAAATTAACCGAGTAAGTGAATGGAGAATAACAACTGAGTCAATGAATTAGTCAGATCGCAGCAATTCCCCTTCTTCCCCAGGGAAGTCTGTGTCACATTATAGCAAAGGGAAAGAACATAGGTACTATTTTTGTTGTCTCTGATCTAAAGACATGCCTGTGGGATACTAGATGACTTCATCTCCCCACGAACAGTCTACTCTGGATGGTGGTTTCACCACTCAGAGGCCCTTTCATCTAGAATACGTGGGACTGAGTAAAAATAAACAAGCACAGAGAATGTCAAGTTCAAATGGAACCTCCTTAAATTCCTCAAAGATATATTTGTGGGTACCAATACAAGGCTACAAAGCGGTCACAAATGTTATCAAAGACAAGAATCTGGTTGATGCTTATACTTCTGTTTGTCAACTGAAATGATGTGTTGGCAATTGAGATCTTCCTGCCCAATATGATTTTGGCTACTTGGTCATACATCAGAACCCTGGAGACAAGGATGCTGGGTTCTCTGTAGATTTGGACAAGTCATTCAAGCCTCAGAATGCAAGTTCCTTAACCTCAGTTTCCAAAACTGAGAAATGAGGGGGCTGGACAAGACAGCCCTGATTCATCCATGCCACTTCCCTCCCCCTCACTGCTGGCATCCAAAATCAATTTCCTTCCGATCACCAACCTACTTCCTCAATGTCTCCGCAATTCATCCAGTTTTCTCCATTCCCCATTTAAACCAATCTAACACCATCTTGTTCAAAGATTACAGCAAGAGTCTCAAAACCAGTCCCCAATGATGTCTTTTTTTTTTTGTCCCTGCAACCCACTCTCCACATGGCAAGATCCACAGAGCAGTCCAACTTCAAAATGCAAGTCAGAGGCCTGCTCAGCATCTCTCATTGGCTGTCTACTGTCCTCTGTAATTAGATTCAAATCCTTGACTTGGCTCTGCAGCAGCTTGCGTTACCTCTTCCCGGTGCTTCTCCCAGTCTCATCTCACACCCTCCACCCCCTTCCTTCCCTCATCTAAGGCCCCTGTGCTGCACAGCGGCAGGGGCACCCTTCACATTCTAGCCTATAAAGCTGGGCAACAGGCGGACCCTGTTGGGCTGGCTCCCTCCCCTCACTCTGCCACAAGCATACTCTCTACCTGGTTAACTCCTGGTCATCCCCTGGGTTTCACCTTCAGTGTCACCTCCTCAACCCCTAGACTGGGTCTTCCCACTTGTTCCCTCCCATGGGCCACTGTTCCTTTTCTTCAAATATCCCACGGTCTTCATATAACAACTTGTTCAATACCTGCCTTCTCCACTGGACTCTAAGCTACACAAGGGAAGGAAGTGCTCCTGTCTTAGGCTCTTTTGCATTCTCAGTACCAGGCGGTGAGCAGGTGCTACAGGAGTATTTGCTGAATGCATAGTTAGATGAATATTCATCTCAAAGTGCTTTTCCAAATCCAGTTCTCTCTGGTTCTTTGACACTAGTGAATTTTTCAGTCTTCTGGCCCCTACTAGGGTGTTCCTTTGGAGCTTTCTCTGGGTCATCTGCACAATCCCAGTGCCAGCCGCCCGAGGGCACTGCTGATGGTAGAGACAAAGCACCCAGCTTCTGCTACTCGAGCTCCAAGGACACACTTAGGGTTTGCCACTAGGTCACCTTCTATCACCTTCTAAGAAGGTGGACTCAAACACAGAAAGCCAAAGGGCAGGCAGAAGACGCAAACATCTAAACACCTGGATAAAACAGTACCCAGTGGACCCAGCTGTGCCCGTGGGCTCTGGGGGGCAGGGAGCCCGGAGTGGTCCCGAGCTGGGGGCTGGAGACATCCTCACCTTGGAGGGAGCCTTCTGGTGAGGAGTATGTCCCAGCTCCCAGCAGGCAGATGTTTCAACCACTCTCTTGCCTGGTGAAATGTCAAGAAGACTCTTTCCCTACTAACAGATTTTACTTAGACACTAGTGTCATGAGCTCATCCTCTCTGAAGTCACGCGGTGAGGTCTCTGTGGCTGAATAACTGAAAGGTGGGGTTGGGGAGAGATTCGTTTGGCTGGTTGGGAGGTAGGTCTCTGAAAGAAGCCAAGCCCTCTGCTGACATAATGAGGTACCCAGCTTCCTCCAAATCCTAATTATTGCTCTGCTAAAAATATTCAGTAATGAGCATGATCAGAGAACCTTTTTTATCATGCTTTTCAGAATTGCGGCGTTTGGTTAGGGAGCTATTTTAAGAAACAGCAAAGCACATGTTAATGAAGGAAACTTTCAACAGTAGTAGGCAATATTAGAACGATGAGTAATGTGGACCTTAAAGTCTATTTCATTTCAGCTTCATCTTTTCAGCCAGCTTTGCTAGAGGGTTTTTGACATGTAGTTCTGACAAGCAGAGCAGAGTGCTATGAAGTTTAATTCATGCCCTTGATATCTCTGGCTTCATTTAAAGTGATTTTTTACTTTCAAAGTAAACCTCAGTTAAGAGTATAAAAAGCCTAATGTGGATGCTCAGGCCATACCTGAGCATCTTTCTCCCACAGTAAATATTCTGGCTTTCTCTACCTGGGCCCCAAACAGATCTCTGTCTTGGTTCCCCTTGGTGGAAATCCACAAAGCAGATCAGTGGACCACGAAAAAAGGTCCCTGTGCATATGAAGTCATGCACAGTCTTCTGCCTATGCTCCCAGGGCAAGTGAGATACCATCTGACTATTCAATTTGGAGATGAGAATTGTGGTAGATTAAAGATGGGCACAATTCTTACCCCTTAGCATCTGGGTTGGCTTTAGTGACTCGCTTTATAATAGAATGTGGTATAAGGGACACTGGATGACTTTCAAGTCTAGGTCAGAAGAAGCCTCGTGGCTTCTGCTGAGAATGCTAGCTCTCTGGATGCCTCCTCTTGGGATGTATACTCTTAGAACCCAGCCACCACCCTGCAAGAAGTCAACACAACATGGAGAGGCCACATGTAGCTGCTCCTTTGTCTACCCCAACTGGGCTCCCTGTTACCAGCCAGCATAAGTGCACCATCTGGGACCTCCAGTCTAGCTGGGCCTTCAGATGGCTGCAGCCCCAGCCAACACCTGACTACAACTGTATGAGAGGCCCCAGCAAGAACCACCCAGCCAAGACCTTGCTGAAATCCTGCCCCCCAAAATCATGAACAAACTAAAGTAGCTCTTTTAAGCCACCAATGTGGGAGTCATTTGTTATACAAGAGGGTGCTGGGTTGCTGAGAGTTAGGAAAGTGTTGGACCTGTTCCTACACCTGAACAACTGGAACTTGAGGTTTTACTCCCCAAATAGGGAAGGCAACTTTTAGCTCACTAGAGGCCACTCACCCAGAAATAAAACCACCACCAAATGCGTGTTCCTACAGTACAAGGTAGCTGAGGAGCTGTCACCTCAGGAAACGCTGGTGCATTTAGCCCTGGGGGAAATTCTGGGTGAACCAGAGTCCCTGCTCTAGATTCTTGCTACTTTAAGTGAGATCTATGGATTGCAGTATCTAACAACCAGGGTGGCTCATTAGAAATGGAGATCTTAGGTCCCACCAGAACCCAAATCTGCACTTTAAAAAGATCCTACAGGGATCTATAGTCACATATTTGACAAGCACTGGTCTATACAAAACCCATCATGGCAATTTTTAGGAAAGGAACAGCTGGCTCACAGCTCAGATCTTACAAAGACTTAAAAAGGTAATAACCACCCCATTCCATAACCCAGCTCCATGTAACTGATGCATCAGCCAGTTTCTCCTGCCCTTCCCTCCCCTCCCATCCCTGTCATGTTCCTAGGCAGCCTTTCGAGTCTGAAGCATATGGAGTTTCCGTTCTTGGAACTCCTTACAAACAAGATTGGGACTTGAGAATGCCAGGCCTCCTGTTCTAACCCAATGCTCCTGACCACTGAGAACGCCCTTTCTGAAAGGACAGTCTACATCTTACACCAGCCCCACTGGGGGTAGCACAGCACTTCCCCAGCGGGCCCCAAAAGGGTGCGGGCTAACAAAACACCACAGGGAGACTAAATACATTATATGTAAGAGAATAATTTTCTGAAATATCCAATGTCACGTCCATTTCTGGGGATGATGTCTGTCCTGAGGTCCTGTTCCTGGGGGGACCTACATCACCTCAAGGAAAAGCAGCTATGGTTGAGAACACAGGAGACTGTATTCAGCTAAAACAGGCTCTTCTGAAGTCTCATTTCAAAAAGAATAGTTATGAAAGGTAAGGCTTTCCTGTGAAAGAGCCAGGCCTTGAAGAGTACAAAGAGGGTTTGGGAACTGCCAGAAGTATCCCTTTAATTATTAAGAACCAGAAGCTGAGCGGACTTGGGGTATAGAATGCTTTACTGCAAGCTCTGGAGTGGGGAAGACCTGATATTGACAAAGGGGAAGTTGCCTGCCCCTCCTGGGGCTGAGGGACAGAGCCCGGGGAGGGATCAGGAGGTGAGCAGCAGAAGTGGGAGAATGTGAACTGGGCGTGTCCTTCGCCTTCACTCAGGTTCACACCCCAGGGGCAGTGGGGCAGGAAGAGACCCCATTAGAAAGCCCAGGGCAGAGGGGCTGGCATGCTGTTTACCTCAAGGAACTTGGGGAGAAAATGGTCTCACAGAGGCCCCATGCCAACACGGGGAGGTCTAGGTAGAGTGTTCCTTATCATCATAGGGGTCTGACATGACTCCCTCCCACTGTCTTCCAGTAGATTATGGAGGACATTTTTAAAGTTCCCAGGGATTACGGAAGGTAGCTAAGGTTTAAGATCAGCATGAATGCTGGGTGGCACACATGTGGACAGGGAAGGGATCCTACAGCTGAGGCCATCAGGGGCCAAAGGAAAGGCCAAAGGGGGAGGAGTCCAGGGACCAGACAGAGGTAGCAGCTGAGTGTCAGGGGGCTGCGATGGGGGTCGGGTAGCGCAGGTGATAGCTGAGCACAACTTGATACCCCACAACAGAAGGTCAGCAAGAACCAAATCCCCACCCCATGCCAGGCCAATACATATGCCCCAGAAACAGATCGCCCCAGGAGGAAAAGGCCAAGAGTTGATTCCACACAGTCTAAGTGCAGACCTAGAAGGGTCTGAATTACTTCAAAGGTTAAGCATGTTTTTTCCTGTCATCTGTGGAAATGGGGTCTTCTAAGTAAGTTTGGCTACTGAAATTACTCCTGCCCCCTTCCCAGTTGGTCCTTCCCCCGCAAGAGATTCACTCATGGTATTCCCATCTGAGTGGCATCTCACTCCATGTGCCACACAGAAGTCACAACCACTGCACCCTGCCAGTCTCCCTCTCTGATTTCACCTCTGCACACCCTGTACTATATGACCACTTCTTCACATATGCCCACCTGTGGACATACCTCCCCAACACTCGGGATTCATGGGTCAACCAATGACGGTCAAAAACATCCAAAGATGTAATAGGCTGCCTTGGGAGATAGGGAGCTCCCCCTTGTGGGAGATGTGTAAGCATCAGTTCTACCAGGAGCTAGCAGTGGTGCCAAGGGGAGCGTAGGAGACTAAGTTAGTGACCCCAAGGAGCCCATCCTACCCCAAGAGTCTGAAGGTCCATGAGCACCAGAAAAAGGCTACAGTGGCAGCAGGTTCAAGGAGAAGGATGGTGGGACCAACATGGGTGGAATTCCAGTGGCCCCCACAAATTGGGGAAGATGGATCTGATGGAGGATGTCAGCAACAGGGCAGCTTGAGTCAGGTGTATTAGACTTCATGAAATCCCTAGGTAAAGCATATGGTAACTCACTTAACTAGAGTATCTGCAGTATGCCAGATAACCATTTAGTATATATAGGAAGGTATGCATGGATGCACCCACAGTACCTACACATGAAATGTATGGTAGAAAGTAAAATAGAAAATAACCCAAGCCATTAATCTACTTCCACGCCTACCTTTAGCTAAACTACCAATTCTAGCCTATCCCTTCCTCACTCTTCCTTGCTCCTAGATTTTCACGCAGCAATAGGCTTATGCGTGGTTTACGGGTGGTAGTCTGATGAAGGAAGGTGGATGGAGAAGCTAAGAAATTCAGGTTACTGTACTGTCCCCCCACCTCCATCTTGAACATCTCCATTTTTAAGGTCAGGAAAACCGTCTGACCCTATAGGAGAATAGAAGTAATTACTTTTGCCCCATCTGTCTTTTGAAGTAACCCAAATGAATATAATCCAGGGAGGCTGGGTGTTTTAAAAATCCCAGCAACGGCTGTTTTAATTCTTAGGTGACTATTGGAGACCTTGTGACACAGACTGAAAACCTCAGCTCAGGAAAATGATGAGTGTTAGGCAGTGCATGTATAGCAGAGACTATTTCTCCATTATACATTCTCCCAAAAGAGCTCCTATAATTTGTGATTTATATTCTCTTGCTTATTATAGGACAGAGCAGGAAAAATGCAAATTCACAGATAAAACTTTAAAGATCTTTCATGCAGATCATAGTCGTTTTTGAAACAAGTCCAATGGCAAGCCCTTACATCTTTCACTGAGACTGTTGGGCTGTGGGGCGACGGCAGTTAGTACTCTGGCACCTGTCATCAGCATCTCCTCCAGTAGAGGGCTCTGCGAGCAACTCAGCAGTCAAGAGACCAATGGAAAGCAAACAAACTGGATGCAAAGGTCCATATAATTCAGACCAAAATGTCACCCCTTACATCTAAATAGGTTGGAAAATTCCACAAGACAGAGTGTGCATCCAAATTACCTATGCAAATGCTTCCATGCCCTGTGTCTTGGTGAAAGTCCTTGCAGACAGAAGGCTTCCATCGTAAGCTAACTCTCCATCATACTCCCTGAAAGCACTCTCTTGTTCATCTAGCATTTAATGATCACTGCAAACTTACCATGACGTCTGGCATGACTGAGCCTTAGCACATGAGCAGAGAGGCTCATAGAGGCTGCTTGGGAGACATCTGAAATCCCAGTGCCTTGTATGTCTATGCTACAAGCCTGAAGCAGACATCTTATTAAACCTGATGGCCATGCCACAGTGACAGGCGAGCACAGGAGAACTCACCTGCTTCCTTGATATGCTTGTAAACATCATCAGAGCCAGCGGAAGAGTATGGAATGTCATCGTGGGCCACAAAGTCAATCTGTAGGAGAGAGAAGAGAGATGTCACCACTGGGATGGATGTGCATGTCTGCAATTTGAAAATGCCTTTTTGAAATACAGTAATTGTAATAAGCAGTTTATAATATGGACTTGAATCCTTGACTGAAAGGTACTTCCAACTGTCTCCATTTCCACAGACGATGGGAACTGGGTGGTTTCCCCTCTTTGTCGGTGTCTCTCTCTCCTACCTCTGACAGTAGGTTCTCTTGGTCTTCTGTTCTTCTGCCTCTAAGCTTGCTTAGAAAATTCACTCATTATTCAGATTTTAATCATCCCTGCTATGATGAGGAACCCAAATCTCCATTTCCTGTTCCACTGATGGCAATAGGCCCTGACACATTGTATTTCATGTGGTGAAAATGAATTCACACCTCTTTTCCTATTTCATCTTCATAACCACCTTGTTAGGCAGGTAGGACACATATTACTATTTCAGCTGGGACAAAAGGCTGCTGAAACAAAAAAACCTGTCAGATTTGCCTAAAGTTGCCCTTTCTCTTTCGCCACCCCTTGCTGTCACTTTAACATCAACGTGCCTGGAATTTAATTCATCCTGAAAACTGGTGCCCCCTTCCAATGTCACCTGCATTTTCCCAGCTTACCAAGGCCCCAAACACCTTGGCATCAGCCTTCTTTCCCTACTTCCTTCAGTCTCCTTAGCACATAGGTCCCATGTTCCCCTAGGGAGTGTGTGCATACATGTGTGTGTTTACGTGTGCGTATGTGTGTCCTCTCCATTGCCACTACACCAAACCCAGGGCTCTGCCACTTGGATCATTGACAGCAGCCTGGACCTGACCTTCCTCACTAGGTTCCCTCCTTCAGAGCCAGCACTCTGTCACACGGTGGGAAGGGGTCCTTCTTACACAGAGTCTACTTCTTGTTGTGCTAAGCCAGCTGTCTTCACTACTTCCCTCTCTCCTTCTACATCAGGTCAGAACCTCTTGGTTAGCTTTCAGAGCCCTTTATAATGAGGCTTCGCTCCATCTTGAGAGATAGTTTAGAGTAGCAGTTTCATTTGCCTGTCCCACCACTGACTAGCTATATAACTCATAAATCAGGCTTTCTCAACCTCAGTACTAATGACATTTTGAGCTGGATTATTCTCTGGTGGTGGAAGGGTCTGTCCTGTGCACTGTAGGAGGCTTAGTAGCACCCCTGGCCTCTACCCACTAGATGCCAGTAGCACCCCTCTAGTTGTGACAGCCAAAAATGTTTCCAGACCCAGCCACATGCACCTTGGGGGTAAACTCACCCCCACTTGAGAACCACTGGATTAAATGACATCATTATGTAAAAGTGCTAACTGTAATAATTGGTACACAGCAAGCACTCAATAAATTTTATTATTATTAATTCTATTCTTAGTACTCACACTTAGTACCTCCTCTTCTCCAATGTATAACAACAACATCTCAGGGTAGCCACGAGATTGAGTGTGATTCATGTAAGAGCAAAGTGCTTAGCACAGTGCCGGGCACATGGTAAATATTCAATAAATGGCAGCCATCATCACCATTAGTATCCCCATAGATACTTAGTAAAAATGTGTTAGTGATTGCTGCAAGTAAATCATACTGTAGTTTTTCCTTTTTCTTTTTATTCTTGCTGGGAAATTGTCTCTTCTGCTATTACCCATGCACATTTATCAGTGTTCTCTCTTCTCTTCTGCATCGTGAATTTAAAAATAGAAAAGAAAACTCTTAGAACAGCTTAATCTTATTTTTTTTTGTACTGCTTATAAAAGGAAAGAATAGCTCCTAATGTGGGACTGGTAGGGAGATACAAAGCACATAATTTGATGCAGATCAAAAGAATTGCACATGTTTTCAACTAATAAAAATCTTATATCAGTAGGAGTCGCAGGGTCACAAAATCAGAGATATATAGCTCTTTCCTTAAAGACTTACCCCTGGCCTTCTAGATAATATGTGCATTCATTCAGTCCATGAAAAATGATGCCTGTGAATCTATAAGTACCAATAATGACGATGGTGATGATAATGGTGACATTTTTGGAGCTCTTGCTATGGGCCAACGAGTGTTCCAAGGGTTTTACTTAGATAATCTCAGTAGAGGCTCAGAACAGCCCCATGAGGAAAGCACCAGTGTTACCCCCATTTTGCAGGTTAGGTAAGTAAGCTCAAGGTCACACGGATAAGCAGAGATATAGGCCACCCTTGCATATGGGTAGTCTAGCTACAGAGCCCATGGTGAGGGAGTGAGAGGGTATCCATCCCCAGCCTGGGGCTGAAGAAAGGTGCTACATCAAGGCACACAACATGACAGCTCCTGAAGTTACCTCTTTTAGGAACTGGAAAAGGCTTTATTGGGCTTTCTGGGTATACGCTGCAGAATCACACTCCCTAAATTTGCTACTGAGAGAATGTAGAAGAACAAGTACCTTATGCTTTTCCAGGAACTCTGGTGTGAGTGTCCACGGAGCATCTCTGATGACTTCATCCACATAGCGACAGTGTCTGAGAGCTTCATATCTCTCTGCTTCATTCATCACAGTGAAACCTTTAAATTTGTGGGTGAGGTCGTCACTGCAGACTGAGACAGGCAAATGCATTAAATGCCATTAGCTCGCCTAGGCCCTGTTCACAGCCACCCAAGGTCAGACATGGCTTCTCAGCAAGACAAAAGGAGCTCAGCCTTGCCAGGTGTGCAGCATAATGCAACTCAGTCTTTTACAAGAACAAAGGCTCAGGAAAGCAAAGCAAGCTGAAATCCACCAGCAGTTGAGAATTTCATTTTAGTGCTAATTATGACTGCAACTGCTGCTGTGGCTTTTATTAAAATTATTCTCTACACTACTTAAGTGTGACTTTCATAACTTTTTATTTCCCTATCCCACCCTTCAGTGAAAATTACTATTCAGAAATAAAATTACCAAATGAACAGAGAAGTCAGAGAGAGGAGAGGAACCCAGAGGCCTGAAATAGAGGTTTGAACAATCAGTTCCAATTCCTTTACTAGATCACTGTACTTAGTAATACAAGTGTGATTCGCATGCGCATGCACATATACTTCTGTTCCCTGGATTGAGATCCAGTCACTGCATATGGGGCCACGGAATCAAGAGGAGAAAGTCACAAAATAAAAGATCTACCATAGGAGAGCTCACCCTTCCTACATCTCATCCTTTCTAGCTCTCAGGATCCTGAATCCTCAAACAGGAATTAACAGTCTCTGCCATCAGCCTTAGAAAGGATTTTTTTGAGGATTTACATAAAAGTGCTTTGAGATAAAGTAAACAACAAATATTATTCATTATTCTATCCAGGACATATATTTTTGTTGGCAAAGGCAGCTTTCCTACCTGTCAGGAAGGAATGTCATTGTGGGTACAGTCCCTGTTTACCAACTTCCTGGTAAGGGGCTTGCTGCAGCCAGTGAGACTACCCTGACTGCTCCTTAGGATGAGTTTTTTTCTTTAAGGTACTATGTATTCACAATAAATTTACAAATTTTATATGTGTAAGTTATGTTTCAAAACCAAAAGTGCCCCAATCATTTTCTTGGAATGAAATCATGAACCACATCCAGAGACACATCTGGCCACAGAGCAAATGCAACCAGTGGCCACACGCAGCATCTTGGGAAACCTCCTCCTGCAGTCCTCACACACGCTGCATGCAAACTGCGTGGGTTCTGCCTGCCCAGTGCCCCCGGGAGCCACATTCTCTCACCACCTGCACCCCCATTTCCAGCTCCTTCACCATCTCTTCCCTGGATTACTGCAGTGGCCTCCTAACTAGTCTCCTCATTCTAGCCCTGCCCACCCTCAGCAGCCTGCTGTCATTGGCCAGAACGGTCCCATCAAAACCTGCCAGATTGTGTCATTCCCAGGCTCAGAAGCCTTCCCATTTCCTTCAGAGTAGCAGAAAAAACTCCTCTGGCAGCCTACAGGCCCCTACTGGATCCATACCTTTGCTCCTCTGACCACATCTCCTGCTGCAGCCCAGCCCCTGGCCTCCCTGCTGTTTCCCGAAACCACCAGGAATGTTCCTCCTCAGGTCAGGACTTCGCACTTCCTGTTCCCCAAACCTGGAACAGCCGTGCTCCAAACACCCACAGGCTTCACTCCCTCCCTTCCCTCAGATCTTCCCCATCACCCTATTTAAAATGCCATCCCACCCCCCACCACAAGCAGTCCGCACCTCCCTCCCACATTACTTCTGGCCATGGCACTCCTCATCATATAATTGTTGTACTTAATTTTATTTATTCTTGGTGTTCCTCTACTAAAACATGAGCTCCCCGAGGACAGGGACTTTTGTCTGTTTCATTTTCTGATGGCCCATAGTAGGCTCTTAACAAATAGCTTTTGAATGAATTAACAGTGCCTGATTTATATAAATGCTCTATAAGTGTCTGTTATGATTTAAAAAATAGATGCAGGCAGTCACATTTCAACAACAAACATGCAAATAAGAGACTAGTGTGTCTCTAGATACACATGTGTATGTCTATATATCTCCTATACACACTTGCTGAGAAGTTGTATAGACATATACAGAATACAATACAAAATAGAAAACATTATAGTGGTTTACATTACCAAAATACCACCAACCACATGGCTGGCTCAAAAAACTTTGATGAGTATCAAAATCACCTAAGAAGCTTGTTTACATGTAAAAATGCCCGAACTCCACTCCCCAAGACTTTTGAATCAGTGGGTGCTATGTTCTGAATGTGACCCCCCACCCCCCGCCAAATTCCTATGTTGAAATCATAACTCCCAAAGGTAATGATATTAGGAGGTGGGCCTTTGAGAGGTGCTTATGTCATGAGGGTGGAGCCCTCATGAGTGGGATTAGTGCCTTATGAAAGAGATCTCTAGCACCTTCCACTGTGCGAGAAACAGCAAGAAAGCCCCGGTTATGAACCAGGAAGAAGGCCTTCACCAGAAGGAGACCACGTTAGCACCTTGATCTTGGACTTCCAAGCCTCCAGAACTGTGAGAAATAAACCTGTGTTGTTTTTAAGCCACCCAGGCAGTGGTATCTTGTTACAGCAACCTGAATGGACTGAGACAATGATTGTGGACTGGGACACATGCAGCTCCATTTTTGACAAGCTTCAGGGATGATTCTGATGCGTACAACATTTGAAAGCCTGGGAAACATATTATGAACATCTTCAGTAAAGAGCCCAGCCTGTTTTTGAACCACCCATCGCTCCACCTGGGGAGGGCAGTGCAGGTAATAGGGCCATAATGACTATATTACGTATTGCCTAACTGATTGCATTGGCTTTTCACCTCATGAATAGGAGTTATTTATGGGTCTAGATATACAATTTAAAATTGATCTAAGACTTTAAAAATGTTCTTTAGGGACTTTACTGAAATACTACATCAAGAATAATACTGAGCAGCAGAAGACTTAATATCCATCAATTTTCTATTATAAACAACACAAAATTAGGCCAAGCCCTAGCCTCCCCACTTTTGAACCTGCACCTGAGTAATTTGATACAACTTCTCTATGGCCAAGATAATGGCCTCCTGACAGAGCACAAAGAAAATAAACATCCTGTTGATGCCAATACGGGGTCCTATTTTCATATCCTAGGAGTGACCCCAAGAAGCAGCTGAACATGCTGACCAGTCATTGTCTAAACATTAATTATGCCCCAAGCAGCACTGTTGTCCTTGAGTCTTGGCAAAGGCACTCTGACAACCAGATGGCAAACTCTGAGCAATGGTGTTCCATGGGTGATTTTTGTGATCTTTCTGGGAGCTCCTGCTGCAGCTAACCTATCTTGGCAGCTCACTGCGTTCAAAGAGAAATATTAACCAGAACCCTGCAAGAGAGAAGATATAACATAGGGGAAGAATGTTGGAGCCCAACACACTTGGGTTCCAATCCCAGCTCTGCTATGTATCACTGGGAAGTTACTCAAATTCTCCTAAGACTCAGTTGTGTGTCTTTAAAACATGGCGAAGTTTTGAGAATTAAACTTGATCATCTGTGCGAGCAGAGAGTAATTCTCAATAACCTTTGGCATTTAGTAATAGTGGGGATAATGCAGGACCATTTCTGGAGATAGTCATTTGTGTTTGGGGCTCTGTCTTTTCCCTGAACCCCTCCAAGCAGGTACCCAGACTCTTGGTACAAACTCCCTCCTGTGAAGTTCAAGTTGCTGGTAGACTTCAAGCCTGCCTCCCTGGCTGCTGTTTCCCCAAAGCCAGAACAACTTGGGGGAATACTGCAAGGAAGAAAACAGAGAGAAGACTCCTCCAAATGAAGAAGAGGCCAAAGGTCTGAGGACCCCACAAGCAGCAGCTCACTGTAAGCATTTTATTTGCTAACTACACACGTCATATCAACAGCCAGCCTTTCAACCACCAACACAGAACACCTATTCAAAAGGCCTCCCTAACTCCCTCAGTATAAAACTCCCATTACTTGGTTTGTGATACTGAAGAAAGATAATCTAAGGCAGTGGTCTTCAAAGTACTGGGCCACACGTACTCCTGGGGATACGCAAAGACTTTTCAGGAGCTATCTAAGCACAGGAAGCTTTAAAGGAATCAATTTCCATATCTTCAGCTTCCAAGGGTATCCTTTCCTAAAATTAGTGGGCCCAAGAAAGCCTCTGTGTCCAAAATCAGCCTTACTCCCCTTTACAAAATAAAAGCACCATTGCAAGGGGTGGGGAGTTAAGACTTCAGGCCAGACCAAACAGAAACCTTGTTTAATGACCACTCAAAGCACCAGGATCCTATCTATAAAAGCTTCCTTTCCTTCCCTGTCTTACACACATTTGTTAGAGCTGAAGCCGTGTGTTAGAAACTAATTATGAAGGAGTGGAGAATGATGCAAATTTTTGCCTGCCGACTTTGCCTCTTCCTTCTCCCAACTATTGTCAAAGTACACAAGGACCTTGAGAGATGAGGCCCAGGACTTCAAAGCAAAAGGAGCCCTAGAAAAAAGTACTGAATGCTAAAAATGGCTTTTTCGTGTAGGTAAGGGTAAGCATTTTTCCAGCTATGCTCAATACTCATATTGAATCCTAAAACTGCCTTTTCTTTTTTAGTTAAGAGTAAGCATTTTTCCAAGCTATTCACTTCAAAATCGCTTTAATAAGCCAAAGCTGTATAGGCTGGTATGGCTGCTTCTTCCAAATGTATTTTCTGAAGTTATCACATTTTTAAAAAATACATTGGAATAAATACAAGGATAAAACATTTACATGATTTTTTTCAGATTTCATATGCATTACTTAAAAAGGAGGTTAAAAATCTATTTTATCAACTCATATCATAAAATACTTATTCTACTTACAGATAATCCTTACCCCATTTCACCTTCTAAAATGTTTATTTTCTACCTCCTCCTAACAAAAATAAAATATCTACTGCCAAATTATTTTTTAGTAGTATATTCCCTTTTCTATCTTTAAATATATAGGAAAAGTATCACCATAGTATCTAATAAAGATAATTAAGTTATTTCTGATTTTTATAACTATTCCTAAAGGGAAAGCACTATTTGATACACACACACTAATATTTAAAGAAGGTATAAAGTACCTTTTAA